TTCAAAAGTTGAGTACTTGAATGGAAAAGAAGTGACTTAATATTTCCACTTACTGAAAACAATTTTATGCAGGTGTTAGCTGACCCCAAACTTCACATTTGTCAATTGAGAGCTGTGTCTGCCACAACCATGAATAGAACCTTTCACTGTATTACAAACAGAGGGGCACCACTCAGACCAGACCTAGAGATCCAAATCTATTACTGGGTGGTGTGTTGAAATGAGGATGTAGGAACTTACAGAGTTCAGGTGAACTAGAATTGTAGGAGTCTTACAAAGCCTGTCAAGAAAAACAAAGAATCCAAGAATGTCTAACTTGAAAGAAGAGATAAAAGAGGAGGCTATATTTCTTAAATACTAGAAGAGCTGATATGGAAAAAATGTTTCATTTAATTCTGTGTAGTTTCCAAAAGCAGAATTAAAATAAATGACTAGAAATTGTAGGGTGGCAGATTTTAGATCAATATAAGAACTCCTACAGTTTCAGTTTTCTCATGGCGATCCAGGCTGCTTTAGAAAATGGTGAATTCTAGATCACCAGAGAAATTCCAAAAGCAGCTGCATGACCATTCATCAGACACTGTAGAGAAGACTCATTTGGGGTAAATTACTTCTAAATCACCTTCAAACTCTGTCTTCGGTTTATCCTACAACTCACTGATATCTCTTCAACCTTTATTCCCACTGTTTGGTCTATTAAACTATGCCCATCAGCAAGACATAAATATTCTGTGTTACCTGTAACTACCTTTCACTTCTTTTTTCTGTACTTTTTCCTCATCTTTTCACCAGCCTGATTTTTGCCATTTTATGAGACTGGCAAAAATTACAGCCTTCCTCATTGAGACTTTCACCAATAATTAACCTAATTATACTCTTTACTCTCTTTAACATTATGTTCAGGTCTCTAGTATAACTTTTATAACATTCCATCCTGTGTTATGTATTTTTTATAGCTGTCTTTATACCAAGTAAATTGAAAGCTACTTGAAGGCAAGGGCCACAGATTTCGTATTTTAGCTTTCTTGTGCAGTTTTAGATATAATGATTGCCTATGACTGCCCTAATAATATGTGCTTCTTAAATTGCATTTGACACAGTTGCTGCATAAAATCAATAGTGAGATTGGATGAACTTCTGAAGTGGAATATTTGTGCCTCCCTTTTGCTGACCGTACTACTTTCTATCATTTTGCTTGATTTTTATTGCAGTGAAGTGCACAACAATTACCATTTTAAAGTATATAATATAATGGTATTTAGTACACACATAACATTGTGCAACCATCACCATTATGTAGTTCTAGAACTTCTTCATCATCCAAAAAGAAGCCACTAGCCATTCAACAGCCACCCCTGGATCCCTGTAACTCTACCCTGGCAAGCAGTCACCTGATTTCTGTCTCTGCGCTGTTTTATTTGCAGCACTGACACAAAAGTCTTGTACCAAGTGGTTATTCAGTAAATATTTGTTGAACCAAATTTAAGTGGAAAGGCACCATCCAAAAATCCACATGATGAAAGAAAAATAAAGACCGAGAGACCAATTGTTTAAACTAAGTATAAATTGTTTAACAAGGGCATTGTTTCTGAGTTTAACACTGCATAAAAAGTGTGTATTTGCAGCACTTTGAAGCATAGTTCTATATAAATCGTTTTCAAAAAATCCATAGCCATAAAAGCAAATAAGAAATTAGCTATGCAAAAGTATGTTGAAAGAAAACCTTTTTAACTCTAATTTTGCAATTAGAACTTCTAATTTCCCTTAAAATATGCATAGATGCTTAAGATAATAAAAGACTTAGGAAAGGCTGTTAAAGTTTAAGTTTTCCATATATTCTTCATTACAATAGCTTATTTCATAATATTCAAAGTACTATTTTTTTCTGATTTTGATAAAACTGAAGTCATTCAGTAAAGGAAGATTTCTTTTTTGACTTTTGTTTTTTGAGATTTCTAGAAGTTGGAGAATGAACAGAGGTAAACTTCCAAGCCAATTGTTACTTCCAAACAATAATTTCATTTAAAATTCTAGCACTGGTTTGTAATTTCATGTATTGGTGATTGCAAAAGACTGAGTGTGACACATGGAAATAATCCTTTATGTTTTCTTTTCCTCCATGGTAGCATCAGTATCCTCATAGTTTTATATTTTTGCTATTGTTGTTAGAGGACCTACTGCTTAGCAGCTCGGTTTTTATACTTAAGAAATTAATCCAATAGGTCACATAACTTAGAGGAACTGAAAATTTTTGTTCAGTACTAAAAGCTCCCTGACTAAAGAGTTTACCAAAGTATAAAGATAATTTAAGTTAATTAAATTCAGTGACATTAAGCTAACCATAAAACACCCAATGTGTACAAAATGACTAATTTCAAAGAATCCCTGTTTAGTATCATGAAATTGTAAAGGGTTATGATTTAGTTAGATATTATTCCAAACAATCTTTAGACCAAAGTTAAGAGGATTTTTTTCCTCAGAAAAAGACAGCTTTTCTGTCATGACTACTTTTACTTACTCCTTTTCATTCAAGATATTTCTTAAGGCATAGTTTTGTTTCTTTGTATATCACAAGGAAAGGAGAATGAGAAAATTTCTCAAATTGTTATAAGCGGAAATAGATTAGCTATTTGATATACAGAAGGGAACAGATAAGGGGAAATTTTTCCAAAAAGCAATACTGAGCATTGATTGGAAGGTATGGTCAAAGTCACATTGATAGAGGGGATATATGTACTCTGCCTCTCTTGGGCTTACTTGACCAGGTTTTATAGTGTGCATGCCTTTCCAATTAGCAATGTGACGTATAGGAACTTATGCTAAGGAAGTAATTGGAAAAGTGACAAAAATGTATGAACAACAATGTTCATTCAAATTGCACTTATAATGGAAAAATAAACCTGGAAACAACCTAAATATCCAAGATAAACATATGAACTATGAAGCAGCCGTTGAAAATAGTTCTTCAGCTCCATATTATTGTCATGGACAGAGGTTGCACCATAATGTTTAGTGATAGAAGCAGTTTCCAGAGAAGTGTGCACAGTATACATATTATATAAATTATATATTATGTGGTTTTGTAAAGATAGATAAATAAAAATGACATTTTAAACAAAGATTATCTCTAGGTGGTATTTAGGGAGTTGTTACTGTTTTTGCTGTTAGCTTATCTGCATTCTCTATTTTTTGCTATAATGATTATGGATTTCTTATGTAATTTGAATATTAAAAAAATTTAGTTGTTTCCAATTCTAAATTCTTGTGAAGATCACCTAAATCCTACCTCATTGTTTCCAGATGATTATAGAAACTGCAAAAAAATAAATAAATAAAAAGGATAGATAATGGGCAGAATAAATGGAGAACTGTTTCTAAATCATGACATATTACAGCCCTGCTACTAACAAACTCTACTTTAAAAACATTTTGTTAGGGAAACTCTCCCCAAAATATATGCAAATGAAATGATCTCATTAATTTTGATTGACTTTATTTTTAAATTCAAGGTATTTTATGTACACTTATTTTGTAAGAGATATACACTGAGCCCATATCTTAGTCTGTTTGGGCTTCTATAACAAGACTAGCATAAATGAGATGGCTTGTAAACAGAAATATATTCAAAGTGCTGGAGATTGGGAAGTCCAAGGTCGAAGTGTACATAGATCCAGTGTCTTATGAGAGCCCATTCCTCATTCGTAGTTAGGACCTTCTCTCTGCTTTCTCATGTGGAATGAGCTTTCTTGGGCATACTTGATAAAGGGCACTAACATATTCATGATGGGTCTATGCTCAAGACCTAAATACCTCCCCAAAGACCCCTCTTTGTAACACTATCACCCGAGAGGTCAAGATTTCGACATGTAAATTTTGAAGGAACAAAACCTTCAGATTATAACAACTCATTTCATTTTAAACTAAATGATAACACTAAGTGGTCTTGATGTCACCCCCTTCATGGATTAGACTGGAAAACTAGTGGATAAAAAAAACACACATTAAATGCTTATGGATCCACAGATGATTATGGTTTGGCTGCTGGTCTGGGTGGTTGGCTGGGAAGTTATGCTTCAGGATGCAGGATGGCCGGACTCAGATCTGTGCTATTTGTTTTTGTCCTGGGGTATGGTATGAGGCAGGAGTAACTACCTAGAACAATCTTTTTTCATGGGAGATGCTTATGTAAAACTTCGAGCCAAATTACACAAGCACATTTGCAGACTCTTTATTTCCAATGGCCACACCAACTCATGTGGCCAAATCTAAAGTCAGTGGGTCAGGGAAATATACACTGGTCCACAAGGAAAGGAAAATGATTGAATGTCAGCTAAATAATACTCATTATTGCAAGAAATGAATCAGTGACTGAGAAGTAACTTATAAAAGATAACATAGGTTAATGTGTAAAAGACTTTAATTTTGGGTGGAGAGAAAACATTACGTCAGTTCTCAAATGAGCATTTCCATATTCCATTTTCACTTTCATTTTCAACCTACCTCCTTTTTCTTTCCAATCTCACTAAATCTTCAAGTAAACCATTTACCCTTATGGGAGCCCAGTGTTTCACTTCAGTGATATGCTTTCTTTGTGAAGCAAGATAGCTGTTATGGACTGAATAGGCCTCCCCCAGGTTTCATATGTAAAAATCCTAGCCCACAATATGAAGGTGTTTGGAGATGGAATCTTTGGATGGTGATTAGGTGGTTAGAGTGGAGCCTTCATGAATAGGATCCCAGAGAATCTTCTCCCTCTTTTTTCCCCCTTTGGCATGTGCTGATACAATGAAAAGATGCCAGTGCGCAACCCACAGGAAAGCACTCACATCCCAGGCATTCAGCCTCCAGAACTATGAGAAATACACTTGTGCTTTGTTACAGCAGCCTGAACTAAATACAGTACCTCTTTGTGGCATGAAAAATAAACCATTAAACAACTTTACAACAGCTCTACCTCCAAGAACAAACAAAACCAGTTGAAAAGTTCTCCAAAAACATACCTGGATTATAAGGGAGCATATGTCACCGAGAAGCATTTTTCCTTGATGACCTTGGAAGGCTCCTCCAGTAGCTGAAAAGAAATGCACAACTTAAATCTTTAGTTCTAGAAAAAAATTAAAATAAAAACTGCCACTGAAAAATGTGCTCATCTCCGCCTCATACCTCTTCTTCCTGACACCATGGCACCTGCAGGGTAAAACCTCTAAACTCATCCCTGCTTAATCTCTTCTGTCTAGTTGCCATAGTTCTCCAATATTACCATTTACTACCTTTACCCTCCTGCTATGTAAGTTCTTTTAGATCATACAGAAAGGGGAAAAGATAGCATATTTTTTGAGACTCAACACAGATAATAGGAGGCAGAAAAGAAAGAAGACAAGTGAGTGATGGAGAGATATAGTCTGTCTCATGAGACATTCATCATGGCAGTGACTGGACTACTTCTGCTAAATGCAATGGCTGTGGAGGGTTACATAAGGCCATCTACATAAACTCAAATATTTGCCAGAAAGAATGTGTACTTGAGGATAGAGTAACATATGACAATGTAATCAAAGCCAAGGTGCAGAGTTAGGGGAAATCAGTGGAGCCCTGCTGGTTTTGTGGAGGCCGTCCTTTTGGAAGCTCCTTTTTCATTGTCTCTATTTGTGAGTACCAGGTTAGTCATTATGAAGAAAATGAATAGCCAAGGTATTTAAGCGATGCTGGGGGCACGGGTTTAGAAGGTTTACCCCTCTCACCCATCAAACCCCCAATCCAGGAAGACAACAGTTTGTCTTTCTGTCCAAATTATCTCACTTCCTTTCTTCAGTGCTCAAATAACAGAATGTTAAAAAAAAATCTTGCTCTGATTCTTTGAATGATCTTTGCCTAATGCATAGCTGTCAAACCCAAACCAGAATTCACCTGAATAAGGCAGGTCACTGTATTTTAAGGGAAGGAGTACCTCGGGCAAAATTCTGTAAACAAAGGAAGAAACAGACATCTTTCTGATGGATCATTCCAATTTTCTTATACAGTAAATGGAAAATTGTGATTCTATATGATTCCTACTGCAACAGTGAGAATTTTGTGCTTCTAAAAGTTGTGCTATTAGGCTACATGGCTGGTTGTGTTTAAAAATTCTGATATAATCCTAGACTCAGATAAGGCAAATAACTGTTTAATATATGGGAAGACAACAAATAGATAAGGTAAAATAATTAATTCAAAGAATTTGGAGATTGTTAGATAATATTGATTGGAGGCTATTGATTAGATTGAGCTTCTGTTCTAGGCCCTCAACTGGCCAAACCAAATGGAGTCACTCAAGAAAGTTCCACATCTCCAAACAGAAACTAAAGTGTTTATCTATCTTCCTGAGAAATTAGGAAAGAAATGATAGTCAAATCTTCAAACAAGCCAGTCATGTTAAGGAAGTGTCCTTTGCTTGAACCCCTATAAGGAAAGTAACCAAAGCTACCTGATGTTAACTAATCTGATTTTTCTATTATGCTAGTTCTTCATTTTGGCTTGGGTGTTTTATAAAAACCAACTTTGCTGGCATGACCAATGGAGTGCCTTTTCTACCCTGACCAAATTATGAATCATTAATGAAAGCCAATTGGTGCTTTAAGTAAACTTGGAGAAAATTTGTTTTCAAATAAGATCAAGACTACATAAATGTATCACAAGTATTAGGGTATTATTCTGCTGAAATTAAGCAATCAAAAATCATATTTAATGATTAGGTTTTAATTCCTAAATAAATCTAAAACATTATTAAAAAATCTTCTAAAACCACTACTCTAATCAAATGTTGTTTGTTTTTTTTTTTGTCCACAAAAATACACCATCCTACTTCAGTGCTCAGCAGTGTTCAATACAGTAGACTATACCATCTTCCCTATTACTTAAAAAAATTTTTTTGGCTTTATAACATCCTGGAAGTCACCTTTGATAGCTCCAATTCCTCAGCAGGACCTCTTAATTCTGTAATTCCTTGGGGCTGAAAAACAGACTTTTCTCTAATCATTCATCTGATGTTAATATAATTTTCAAACAGATCTATTTTCTGAGTTTCATACATGCATACTAAATTATCTGACTTTTCCACTTGGTTATCTGGCAAGATCTTGACTTCATATCCAAAATGTATTTGAAATTTTTCCCTCCTGAACTCCCAAGTTTACCAAAGTGAAAAACATCATCTCTCCTCAATGGTTTAAGGAAGTAATGTGGAGAGTGTAATTAATATTTTCATCCCTATTCCAGATCCATTACTAAAGTTTGTTTTTCCTACCTTCAAGACATAGCTCAGTCTGCCTACTTTTCCTCACTGATTTATTATCAAATATGGATGAAACCACTTTTTTCTGCCTCTCCTGGACTACAATATCTCCAAAGTGGTTTCCTTCCTACTCCTGATTTATTTCCATCCATCTGACCACAAAGCCCAAGAGTGGTCTTCAAAGGTAGATAAGTCCCTGTGACTCCTCTGCTCATAAAGTTTAAATTGCACCACACAGGGTTACAAAGATAAACCCAGGAGACAGCACATGATCTGGTCCTTCAGCTTTTTCCACTCTCCACTCGTTATGTCCTGTCACTCTTAGTTCTTCTTTTACTTCTGTGATGGCCTCAAATCTTTTCCCACTTTTGTGTTTCTGTTCCTCTTGTTTCTTCCTAAAACATTCTTTTCTAAGTATTTATTTAACTACTTATTTCATTTCCTCTGAAAATTCTCCTTGATTCAGTCCCCCTATTATATATTAATATCCTTACTTCATAGCATGAATCACATTTTGTAATTGTATGACTTGTTTAGTATTTTTATCTCCCACCAGACTATGAGGCTCATAGCTGAGGAATCATATTCATCTATTTCACTTCTGTATCCTAAGGGTCTAGCACAGTGCGCCTGGACTAAACTTTTAAAAGATATGTTCAGCTGCACATGGTAAAATGCTTATCTATGATTAAATGTGATTAGTTGCAATAATATCACAACTTCATGTACTGATATTTTAAACTGAGCTGGTTTCATAAAGACTCACATTAGTTATCCCAATTATTGTTCATAAAATATATATAACATTCCACCAAATAAATAAAAGTGCATTTAAATCCTCATTTTCTGAGAAGCATTATCCAATTTTGCAATTATAATTAGTGTTGCTATAATAAAGATGTCTCCTTAAGAGAAATTCACAGAGGTATGAATCACAGGATTATAAGATCTGAATATTTCCATCCATAGGGCCATTCACTTTTCTTTAAAAGTATTATAACAAATTAGAGTACCCCAAAAATGACTAATCTTGGATAAACTGGTAATATATTTTGGGTTTTCAAATTTTATTTATTTTTGATTCACAGTCTTACCATTTTACCTAGGCTGATTTTGAGCTCCTGGATGCAAGCAATCCTCCTGCCTCAGTCTTCCAAATATTTGAGACTATAGGTGTATATATCACCATGCTTGGCTTGGCACTTTTTAAGTGCTTTGCTTTTTGTCTACTATATGTAAACTCCAGATTCTGCCTCAAAGCCTCTCCATGGGACCATATTCTCACTATGAGTTGCAAAAATATTGACACTACTGAAGTCTGCTTTCTTTCTTTGGGGGTGGGTACCAGGGATCAGACTCCGGTCCTTGTGCTTGCAAGGCAGGCAGCGGAACCACTAAGCTAAATTCCTGGCCCTGAAGTCTAATTTCTTATAAGTCCTATGAACATTTTTCATATTTTATGTCTAGTAAAATTATAGTGACACCAGGATGTCTGTCAGGAAAATATATTTATTGTGACTATAACATTATAAATCTGATTTAGAATCAAGTTTTTAATTGATACAGCTATCAACTAAAAGCAATGAAGTGACTTATTTTTTTTTTTTAACACCACTGCTTTTGTTTTTTGTTTGTTTGTTTTCTTTGTTTCCAGTACCAGGGATCAAACTCAGGGCCTTACAATTGCCAGCCAGGCACGATGCCACTGAGCTAAATCCCTGGCCCAACTTGCTCTTTTAACTTGTAACTTGCAGCCAGAAACTTCTTGCCTATACTCCAGGATGCATAACAAATATTTGAATTATAAACCCTACATAGTTTTCATGAAAACTTTTTGTATAAAGATGCTAGATGATAAAATTTTTTCAAAAGTACCTTTTTTATTTAGAAAATAAAATGACTATATTAAATCTTAGGTAAGACTAGACATAGGACAAAGACTGGGCAACAAGATGGTGCTTTCAAAGTCCACAGTGTGTTTAGAGCCAGGGTCAAAGTCTTAGGAAACAGAGATGAGATTCTGCTTTTGGAAAGAGGTCTGCTTTGAGACAAGTCTGGGTAATGAGTGTTGCAATAGGGGTTATTTGAACTTGCTCTGGTTCAGGTAGCTTCTAGAGAGACTGGACAGGGCCATGCCCACATATTAGAGCACTGCTAGGATGGACAGGACTTGGGTCCTGGAAACCTGTATCATTCAGTGTCAAGTCCAGCCCAAGGCTGAACTCAGTTTTTCAGAGCTATTTACTTCACCCCTGGAGTTCTTTCTCCCCCTTCTCCCTTCCTTCCTTTTTTTGCCAATAAATAAACAAGCCCCCTCACACACACACCCCTGTGGTCACCCCTGCCAGACACTCAGAGGATATGAAATTTCCAGCAAGGCTTCAGCAGGATGGATTAGCCCATGTGTGCACACATGTACAGTACAAGGAGACCACAGTAAAAGCAAAAGGAAAGATGCAGGTGAAGGAGCTGGGAGTGAGAGGAGGATGGGACTTGGACATTCAAGGAAGAATGGGCACCCGGGGCAAAAAAAATTTATTTCACTTGTAAAGTGCCTTTTGTTTTTTTCTCAGTCTGTCTTGGCTGACTTGAGTACCCAAGGGTAATGTTTCTTAAACTTTCACGTGTACGTGAATTACCTGGAGATCTAGCTAAAGTGCAGGTTCAGATTCACCAGGTCTTGGGGTGAGGATGGAAGGAGCGTCTGCATTTCTAAACAAGATATGCTCTTTGAGTAGCTATGTTCTAGGCCTTATGTTTCCTGAATGAGGCATAAACACTGGGAAATAATTTGTGGGATC